GTATTACATTCCATTGAGTTAGGGGAAGCCCATTCAAACTACACGGTCCGCGAAATAATTCGCACACAACATCCAGCGTAGGCCTCTGATGTTTAAACTGAAGTTCATCTCCCACAAGTAGTCGGAGGTAGCTAGTTCAGACACATCCGCAGGCCTAACACCACCGTGACCCTTCACAGTCTGGAATACCATTACCAGATCCCGTCTCAATCTGCGCCGTTCCAGGGAAAAATTCTTAAGCTCCTTAAGCGCTCATTATGTGTCCGTTAATGTTGGTCCTCCTTCATCCCAGTCGTCGGTTTCTTTAACCTTTCCATACAAGTAACATTCCTCCGGGATATGGTTCCCGAACCTGCACACAGTATTCCAAGTAAGGGTCATAGCACCACGTTATACAAGGAATGGAAACCTCTTGTACAACTTCTATTTAGGCTTACAGCGTTTTCCGCAACGGCAAGCCGTCATGAAGCGGTATCCATTGCTTTAATATGCTAGCAAGCTTCACAATAGTACCCGTCTTCGTTCAAGTTGTATTGCTTTTGGGTTACACGCATATACAGCCTTAGACCATTGTCGATGCTTTTTGGCTCATTGAAACGTACTTACCAGACTCCAGCACGACCTGTACCTTTGATTTCACTGCGAGCAGTTCTAGCGGAACCTTTCAGGTCTCTCTGCTGGATGTTATAACTATAGGACCTGCTAGCTCTATTATTTTGGCGACTATGTTAAACCCATGTGCAGGAATTGGATCTACCTCAGAAAATAATTTTCGCAGCCGGTCTAGAACATTCAGTGGGATTGTCCAGCATTAAGGGCTATCACATACTGAAACTTCGTTTTATAGGGATGTGCCCTCATGGCTTGCACCATAACTCAGGTGAAGACCAGTTAGCCGGTGTCCGGATGGATAAGGCGTCTGCCTCGAAACTCAGAGGTCTCCGGTTCGAATCTGCGTAGAGACACGGGCTACGTCGCAGTACCACTGACTCGCACTCGACTGGCGATGATCGACTGGTAGTACAGCTACACCGGTTTACTGATGGTGGTCTTTTTTCTGCAATTCATTCACCAACCTCTGCAACGATCTGCACTTTGTCATCGATAAGACTCTCTTGATGGTCACTAACACCATAGCACCTGCAGTGCAGACAATGGTGATCACCGAGTTCAGCTGTATTTCACTCGCGGGTTATTTAGAAGTCCCCGGTGCCAATGTGGGCATCAGCAGTATGCCGTCACACCGTCTATCGACGCTTTGCTCTCACGCAACCACCACCACCAGTCGCGCTAGGACTGGGTGTATACCGCTAGGTCGTTCGCGGTTTCGAACCGGTGACCTCGGGAGTACAAAGCATGTGCGCATTCCTTCCGCCCATCGGCCGACGATGATGTGTCACCCACTGTCTTCCATTATTCCACCAGCTGCTGATGTAGAGCTTTACGAACATCCCTATCATTTGCGGTTGGTTGAGATCTCGCAAAGAATCACGTCAGCTGGTAGCATTGTCACGTCGTATCCACACCCGTGTGTGTGTTACCTTCACTATCTTTTGGGGACATCCAACAGTACAGTTGGTACCGTTGGTTTGACATAGCTATACCTACTACCCCGTATATTTTCGGATCTTTCTTCGACCGACGTTTGGGTATACTTCTGGGGTGCTCCGTACAAGTCCGGTGCTACAGTTCGTTTTCATCAGACGTGCCACCGGCCACTTGGTATGTACAGAATCTGTAGAATTATTTAAAGCGTTTCCAATTAACGTCTAGTGCAATTTAGTCCATGGACTATCAACCTGCGGATCGGATGCATTTCATTGGGAGTTGCAAATTCTATCAAACGCAACGTGTCATTGAGGCGGAACAACCTTAGATACCTTCAAGAGATATCTTCATCTGTTCAACGCAGCTGGTGATGTAGTGACGATCTACCTAAGCTACTCGCATTTCTTTTGTGCATCTTTACAAACACGCATTTTACAAACAATCTTTTTTGTGATCCGCGTGGCCATATTGCCTCCCTTCTCGACCGCATTACTTTAATGCTATCACAAGCTTCGGTAACAGCGCTCATGTTCCCAGTTAACTGCATGTGGGCGACTATCTGATTTGGAAGCTGGCTGAGAAGAACAATTAAAAAAGAAACTTATCACCAGGACACCTTTTCGCACTGCCGTCGGTTTGCTGCCGCGCAATCACCCCCAGTAGCACGTGGGCTAAGGATAATACGAGGGTCATCCGGTCCCTACTCAGGCTCGAACTCGCACCTTCAAATTACAAGACAGGCTTGTGATCCTTAAGGCCACGGGCCGGTAAAGGTAACGTCTCAATCATACACCTACATTTTGTATTGCGAATTTGGCGCCACCCAACTACAAGCGATCTGTTACGATGCCTAAATCCATGCAGGAGCGTAGAATCGGGTTACGGTGACAGAAGCTGCAGCTTAGACGCGTGAATCACCACACCATAAACACTCAGATGGAGCATTTTACCCTTAAACTACTCTACTGAAAATTTTTTAACCTTTAATCTCAGCTACTATACATGGGATAGTCTGGTAATATACCCTGTTTATTCTGCTTTCAACGTAGACGCAGCCTGCTGGTGACCATAAAATTTTTACTCGGTATCTTTGGGGTTTTGTGGTAAAAAACAAAGAATTGGGTTGCTTTAATGACCGTGACGAAGCGACTTAACCTTCACTACTGACTCCTGACACTTGCTTTTTGTTATCATCTGGGACAATATAACAGATACGCTGTTAAGACTTTAAACTTTGTTTTATGTATCCGTCATTTGTTGCCTATTCTTCCTTTTATTCTCCTTCTAGCTTAACAAACACATTGAAAGCATCTT